AAGGTTAGCACACTCATACTGAAAGTATCCAAAGCCTCAACACTCCCTGCATTGATCCTTCTCAACTCGTTGTGAATCAGGTTTTGAGAGTGGCACACTATTTTTTTTTGTCCTGAACCACATTTTTGCAGAAATTGTAGCCCCTTTTTCCAGCAAATTTATTCTTGTACAGCCTTTGACTCATCTTCCCATAGTTTCGCGCAATTAGATCAAGAGCTTCTTTCAGCTTACTATCATCAGCCAAAGAACCTTGATCTTCATCGCTGTTTTTATTTTCTTCAACTACAGCAGCTTTAAGAGCTAGACCCTTACTTTTGACTTTATCATAGTTGTTGTTGATTTTAAACATCCTGAGCTCTCCGATAAGTTCATCAACATCCAAAGACGCCACTCTTTGGAAACTCTCAAGTGCTGTAATTTTCTCTCTAAACCTAGGAACAACCGTTCTCATAATCTTTTGAATTTGACATTTTTCAGAAATTTCTTCTCCAAGCATCGCACCTTGATTCACCAAATCACAGAATTTGGCATAGTAAATGTCAATTGTCTCTTCATCCCTCATTCTGATTTCATCAAATTCAAGAGTCACACGTTTAAGTCTAGATGCCTTGACATCCATTGAACCTTCGAATTGACGTTGTAAGATCTGCCAAGCATCTTTCGCAGTCTTGCATTGGACTATCATCTTGTGTCTAGTCTAATCCACTGTCATCATAATCGCATACAAGGCACGATAGTTAGCTTATTCTTGAAGCTTCTCAGCATTTGTCCAGTTGTCTATAGGTTTAGGAACCGTGACCGTCGTAGATCCTTTTCCTTGATCAGGTGCTTGTGCCATGACTGGATGCTCCCAGCCGTTTTCAACACTTTCCCACACACCTTTTCCAAGCGATCTTAGGAAAATTGTCATCATAGACTTCCAATACGAGTAATTTGAGTCGTCCAATTGCGAATGCCTAGACATCGATCCATTTTCTTGATTCATGATTGCACAGTAACACAAGTCCTTAGATCTTTTGTAATGTAAATGAAAACCCGTTCTGGGGCCAATTGGTATTTGATACTCGTACAACAAGTATCCAGAGTTGTACGTAAATAGAATAAACAGACGGTAAAGAAGATTCAAACAACTGCAGAAGCAGTTTTCACTAAGAATTGAACCTTCAGGAGAGCGTCCCACTCTTTCTTCATGTCTCTTTCAATAATGTGAATAACTCAAACATTATTCAAGGGTTTACAGTATAGACTCTCTCTACACTCTACTTGAATAGAGATCCACACAACTACTTATCTGACCACAACTCCCTTGTGGATTTCTTAGTTCGAATCCCTCAAACTAAACAGAATGAACCTCCGAACACTCTGTTACAAACTCACAAAATAATGTATGTATAAAAAAATCTCCCAACGCTCAATAAACAAGGAATGCTCTCAAAACAAAAAAATGAATAATCTGAGGTGCAAAAGTCACCTTCTACATGCGTATCGATCTCCTTTTATCCTCGAGCATCAAATGGTAAGTCTCGCCTTTTCTTTGTGTCCAAGTTATTATCACACAAGGAAGGTCTCTTCTAGTTTAGGAATCTTGCGGTCTCTCTCTCTCTCTTGCGTTTAAGGAAGTTAAATCCCGCACTTGATCTCATTGACCTGCCAAAATAAAACACACTTTATTAGTCAATTAATCTTTAATATAGAAGGGTTTTTATTCAACTAAAAAACACGCTTCCCTTAATTACACTCGCGATTTTCTGACTGCTGAGAATCCGGAAGGTTCATCGATTTACTGCCAATCTTCAGAACTTACACATTCTATCATAAAATTCATAGTATAATTATAATCTTCTACCAATAAACTAGTACGTGGTCCGTGCGATGCACGGAAACAATATTATGATTATATTAGAAATTAAATTTATAAATAACATTAATCATGATTTACCTATTGTCCTCAAAACGGGACCAGACCGAATAGTTCCACCGTATGGACCGAGAATCAATTTATCGACTAGTTCGGTTCATTTGAATAAAATGTTTGCTAGAGAACTGGTCAACACCAATCGGTCAGACTGTTAGTATCAGAACGATTTTTTACATAATTTTTATTACATTTAAAACTATTTTTAATATAAATAAAAGTACATGTTTAATAAAAATGGATATTTATAGATTATGTATCATTTAGAGTAAAGATTGAATAAGTTTAAATTGTTCATATGTTTAATTAATGTTTTTAATAAATTTATTATTAAAATTACTATATATATATTAAAATTCTGATGCAACTAATAAATCATTGAAAAAATAACTTGATCGGTTTAAAACGGTCATCTCCGGAGAACTTTGGATTTAGCGTACATTAATAAAGTTGTATGCAATATCGTTTTGTTCACATAAATATTAGTAAAATAACATATAAATGTTCATAAGTCCTTGAACATGTTTACATAAAGGCATTCTTAATATGATTATTTGTAGTATGAACTACATTACATTTATTGTAATAAAGTACTTTTAATATTAAAATTTAGTTTAATAATCAATTTGGTATGGTCAAACTGGCCCATTTGGTCACTCGGCTCAATATGTCATTGACCATATTTCGGTCACCCGGGAAATAAAAAATATTTTATGATTCATGCCGTAAATGTAATTTATACCAAATGACAATATATTAAGATTGTAAATTATATATTAATAAAGATATGTCATTTATTTCTTACTTTATGCATATTTATAAAAAATAAAAAACATATTTTAAAAAATTAAAACTAATCAATTGTTTTTTCAATTGTCGCGATAACCAAATACCAACATGAGTTACTACATAGTAGAGACATTTCACATATCAATTATTATGTTTTTAAACATACTAATTTTTTTGCTTATATAATATATAAGTACTTATTATAAAAAGTAATATGTAAATAATTTAATTGTGAAAAATAACATTTGTCATTACTTAATTCTTAATTGATAAATTTTCTACAATTAATTTATTTTTTTAATGAGAAATGATAATTTCAAACTTTTTAAACATCATGATGATTTTATATGTGATTAAAATATTACAAATATTCAATTTAGGATATTAATGTAAATGAATAATTTCATAGTTTGAGATTTATTGTGGAAAACATAATACCAAAAATTGTTGTCGTCTATTTTTAAATATATTGTTGTATTTTTAAACAAATTTATTGATACACAATTGTTTTCAAATAATTTGATGGGAATTATTATAACTATATTAAGTAATTGCCAAACCTTTTTTTATATATATATACATACATAAGTTATCAAAAAACATGTGATTAAACATTATCTAGACTAACACAAATTGGAATGAAATATTAAATCTAAATTAAAAAAATAAAAAAAAAATTAAATCTAACAACTAATTGAGATATCTTGTGTGTCGCTTCAAAAAAAGAAATTAAAAATATTGATTCGTTCCAAAAAGTATTTAATATATTGAATCAATGATTTAAGTGGAATTGAATAAGACTAATAGTAGATACTCTATTTTTGTTAGTTTAAGTGGAGTACATAAAATGAGATAATGTTAGTTTTGAAATACTGCGTTTTTTAAGGAAAAAATCTGCAAAAAAAATTGTGATAAAGAATATTGAATATGATTTGGTGGACACTTAATTCCCTAATTTAAGGCCATTAACAAATTCCCTAATTTAAGGGTTCGATTTTTTTGAATTTGAAAAATAAAAAATAAACAAAGTTACTAAAAATGGTAAGTATTTAATGCTAATTAAAATTTGACCAAGGTTGACCTGCCATTTATTAAAAATGATAAATCTTATTATATATATATACTAGTATGTAACCCGTGCGATGCACGTGCTGTATTTACTTTGGAGAATATTAAAAATTAAAATGCATTATTAAATAAAAGAGTGATAATTCGTAGAAAAATTATCAAACCATAAACTGTTCCTCATGCAAAAAAAAATATTATTTAAACTTTCTTGTACACAATGTTATTTGTTCAATAACTGAGCAACTCGTCGTCCCCACAAACTAAATTTTCAACACTTTTTCTATTACTTACACGCGAAACAAACAACATAATTGTCTGTGACTAAAAATCAATTTCTTTAAGAACATGCCAACGTACAATAAATGTTGACCTTGACTCTTCTTGACCTATTACTTAACATGCCAACGTACAATAAATGTTGACCTTGACTCTTCTTGACCTATTACTTACACGTGTAACAACATACAATTGGTCGTGATCAAAAAAAGATTTTTTTAAGAACATGTAGGGAGGGATAGCGGCCGTATATGTATATCGGTTGTTTTCCTCTTCTTGAGCTTCTGATTCCTTTGAAAGAGCTACCTATCCACTCCCAGCAACGTCGACTCAACTTAGTCGACCCAACGAACGAAGCGAAGTGAAGTCATAGAATGCAAGGCTTACAGAAGTACCGAAACAACCACTGAGAGATTATTTTTTTGACTTTTCAAAGATCTACTCAAGTTACTCTCATTTTGGATTTCTTTCTATATTTGAATCCAAAATCCGATAATGATACTACCTCACGCCCTCCAAATGCTTGGTGTCCGTAAATCTATTCTTATAGCATGTTCCCTATTTTCCTACTCTTTCTTTTTTGATTCATCCTCAATGCACATCTCTTATCTATTACTTACACGTAAAAATAACAACATATAATCGGTCGTTGCTAAAACCGATTTCTTTAATAAAATGCCAACGCACATAAAGACTGAACCTCATCTTAAATGAAACCCTAAGATTAGAAGTAACTGGTGCTCTAGAACTTAAATGAAATCCTAAGATGGATCTTTTTATAATATGATAATTTACTTAGGCAGTCAGACAATGAGTTGTTAGTTTAATATCGATTATACTTGATTAGCTATATAATATTCACTAATATTTCTATATTTTTTTATACAAAAAGACTAACCATGAATGTTAAATGGAACCCCAAAATCAGAAGGAACTGGTGCCGCTGGAACTTAAATGGAAGTCTAAGATGGATCTCTTATAATATGATAAT